TTCATCTTAGAAGACTGGAAGGGAACAAGAGTTGTTTTAAAATTTAAAAAGCCACAAATAATTTTAGTCCACTCTTAAGGTTTCTTTGCTGATATAACTCTCAAAAACCAGTGATTTCCTTTTCAACAAAATCACTGGTTTTTGAGAGTTATGTCAGCAAAGAAGCCTAAAGAGTGGGCTAAAATTATTTGTGGCTATTCATATGTATTTATGTAAATAAAATATATTATATTTTCATTTTAAAAAACAGTTATTTTCTTACCTATTAATTTCAGTCAGTTCTATATGTCATTACCATACCCACAATTCTTTCAAGGCTATAATTCTTTGTTTCTTTACCTCACCCTGACCCCCTCTCTTTCTTAGTTTAAAAATTAGTTATTTTGAAGTTGTCAAGCTTCTAACAAAAAACAGTATCTTCAGTTAGATGTTTGCCCTGAGATATTTTATCTAATTGAAAAGTTTTAAGATGTGCCATTTAATCTAATCCTTACCTTGAAAAACTTTAATACATTGGGAAGTTTTAGCAATATGTGAGGGCCACACATTTAGGCTCATCTTTGCTTTAAGCTCAAGTTTTAATATGCTTTTGTTCCTCAAAGATTTTTTTTTCAATTTTATCTTGTAATTCTTGAAGTCTGAAAGAACTGATTCTAAAATTCTGCCAACAACGGTGATCAAGACAGTGTAGTATTGGCATTAAGAATAGCTATATAGGGCGGTGCCTGTGGCTCAAAGGAGTAGGGCACCAGCCCCATATGCTGGAGGTGGTGGGTTCAAACCCAGCCCTGGCCAAAAACTGCAAAAAAAGAAAAAAAGAATACCTATATAGATTAATGGGATAAAATTGAGAGTACAAAAATAAAACCATATTGTAACAGAGAAAATGGTCTGGAAAAACAGTAAAATGTTTTCTGCTTCTTCAAAACCCCCTTCCCTTTTTGAGAACTAAAACCTACTTCCTTGTCTCAGGCCAGCAATCAGGGGGAGGAGTACCCTTTGTTCTTTGGGCCATGGGAGATGGGATGAATCCAGACAGAGGTCACAAGATTATCACAGCCAAAAGATGGGATGAATCACAATCTTTAAAAGCTATATAATGCTAAGAAGCAGGACACTAGTACTTTGAGATGGGAGTTTATCAAACTCCTCATCTGCTGGCAAATTAATAAATTTCTCTTTCCTTCTTCTCAAATTGTCATTCTTCTTATGCAGCCTTAGGGGGTCACTTGATTTTTCACAAGAGTGCCCAGACCACGGAATATCCACATGCAAATGAATGAAGGTTGAGGTTTATCTCTTATTTTACACAAAAATAAACTCGAAAGGGATCAAAGACCTAAATATAAAAGTTAAAATCACAAAGCTTTTCAAAGAAATCACAGGTGTAAATCATCATGATACTGTATTACATAATTGGGTATTCCCTTTCATTAATGCTTGCAAACCAGCCAATTCTTCCCTAAACTTGTCTTTTTAACAACACCTACTTCTAATATCCTGTGTTCCAACCTTTTCCCCTAGAGCAGTGGTTCTGAACCTTCCTAATGC